AAAAAAAAAAAAAAAAAAGGAAAAAAGTTAACCAAGTCTTGTGCAATTATTATAATTTTAACAGGCGGTCTGTTTCTGTTACCTAATTCTGCTAAAAAGAGAGAAGCACTTTGCAGATGGGAGTTTTCCTAACTGAATACCAATGAGAAGGGGCCACCCTATGCTTCCACATCTAGTTTTTATACTTATTTTTTTTGAGACAGGGTCTCACTCTGTCACCGAGGCTGGAGTGCAGTGGTGTGATCTTGGTTCACTGCAACCTCTGCCTCCTGAGTTCAAGCGATTCTCCCACCTCCACCTCCCGAGTAGCTGGGATTCAGGCATGTGCCACTATGCCTGGCTAATTTTCCATGTCTATTTTGAAAAGCCTGGGGCTCCCAGGTTCCTGAGCTCCATAAACACTGACTTCTTTACTTGACCCCACGTGTGGAGGCCCCCCAAGGTCTACTGTCCAGAGTGCTTCCCAGGGTGACACAAACCATTTCTGAAAAGATTTACACAAATATGGACAGTTACTTATTCTTTGAAATTCTAAGGGTGGGAGAAAGAATTGTACTGGCTTGAAATACAGAGCCAGAGCTGGCTAGACTGAGTAGAATGACAGTGCTTTGTCGAGTCCCATGGAGGGAGCCATGACATTCATGCTGAAGGGATGCAACCCTGGTGCCAAGCTCAAGCTTCGAGGAAAAGAAGTCACCATTACATGGGCAACACAAGAGTTTGAGGTGGTAAAGAATTCTGACGTTTTCTTCAGTAAATAACTCACTATTGAAAAACAAGAAAAATTGAGGCTGTTGGTTTTAAAGAGGAAGTTAAGGTAGGTGCCAGGAAAAGAAACTCGAAGGAATCCAAATGTTTCAACTGCATTTCATCATAAAACTGATTCTTCTGAGTCTACAGCTGACATCTGACGAGTTCTTTTGGTTAATGTTCGTTTCACTATACTTTATTTTTAGAACATTCTGTGTTCTTGAAATTGTTCTGTAGATACCTGCTTTTATAGAAATGCCAGGCTTCTACTACATGGTAACCTTTTTCTCCAAGAAAGAAAAGATTTCTCTCTAGCTTTAATAAGCAGAGCTTTGAATACTAAAATAACTTGGCTTTTCCCATCATCCCAACATTCAAACCAAGCCTCAAAGGAGGAAAAATGCTGCAGAGAGGCTGCAATGACTGGGTTTTGCCACATGTTTCTGAGAATCAGAAAGGTGTTGCAGATCTTCCAGTCTTCTTGAGTCCTGTGGTCTCTGCTGAGCACTGCCACGGGTCTCCTGATTCAAGGCACAACCTTGGGAAACACTGTTTCTGGAGCTGCTAAACCGCAAGAGCACAAGGGAGTGATGACAGGCACCCTCTTTAAGAACCAACTCCAACACTGGAAGACTCAGCCTTGTGGGACCGACACTCACAGGGCTGCTGACAGATTCAAATGAGATAACTTATACAACTCACTCACCCCAGTTTCTGGCAAACAAATTGCTTAAGAAATGGGGACTACGGCTGGATGTGGTGGCTCACGCCTGTAATCCCAGCACTTTGGGAGGCTGAGGAGGGTGGATCACGACACGAGGTCAAGAGAACGAGACCATCCTAGTCAACATGGTGAAACCTCGTCTCTACTAAAAATACAAAAATTAGCTGGGCATGGTGGTGTGCACCTGTAGTCCCAGCTGATCGTGCCATTGCACTCCAGCCTGGGCAACAATAGCGAAACTCTGTTTCAAAAAAAAAAAGAAAGAAAAGAAAAGAAATGGGGACTACAGAGATGTGGAGAGAAACCAGTGGAGAGCAGCATTGAAGGTGAAATACACACAGCTCTACACAAGCTTACCTCCACTCTGTTTTGGTCACGGGCATTCATAAAATAATTTTAAAATGCTCAAGTTAAAGCCCACAATCCACTTGTAGTCTAGACCAGTGATTCTCATCCTTGGTTGCACATGAGAATTACTCAGGAGCTTTAAAAACTTTCTACTGATGCATAATCCGTAAACAGAAAAGCACCCATCATCATGCAGTTCACTGAATTTTCACAAAGTGAACATATCCACGTAACCAGCATTCAGGTGAAGAAACAGAAGCCTCCCTCTACCTTTTCTCCCCTCTTCTAGCCATAACTCTCCAGGGTAACTATTACCCTAACTTCAAAACAGCAGAGACTCGTTTTTCCTGCTTTTGGCTTTATATAAATGAATGGCAGAGTGTGGCCTTTTGTGTCTGTCATGTTTTGCTCAGCATCGTGCTTGCAAGTCATCCATGGTGTGTCGTCACAGACTGTTGGTCCTCATCACCGTGCACGTCTCTTCTAGAGTTTACTTTTCCACTCCACTGTTTATGTTATTTGGCTGCCTTCTGCTTATTATAAATGGTCCTGCTATACATTTGGGCACACGTCTATTGGTGAACAAACATGCATTTCTGTTGGGTCTGTAGCCTAGGAGGGCATGACTGGGTCCTGAGGACTTTAGTACTTACTGCCAGTTTTCCAAACCACTTGTATCAACCTGCACTT